TAAGGAGTCCTCCACTGAGATCCGATCTGATCAAAATAAGTTTTCACCCGATCCGAACCCGACCCAATATATAACTTAAAAATCCGACTCAAAATAATAAAAAATATTTTTATTCAATAAAAATAGTGACTTAATTGAAAAAATATATATAGGGGTATTATTGTAATTATTCTTAAATATTTAAGGTAAAATTATATATTTTTTCGGGTCGAGTTGGGTCGGATACTTTTTAGCCGAATCCGACCCAAAATTTTTATAAAAAATCCGACCCGATTAGGTTCGGATCCTATACCTATCCCTAACTAGAATACAATTTTACTGATGGTAAAAGTAAATGATATTTTAATAAATAATTGTGAAAACCTATTTTTATAGGTGGTTTTAAAAACAATATATACTCTTAATAAATCCTATTTATGGGTTATACATTTACATTTAAAATAAAATGAGAATTTTAATATAATATTATAATTATTTCTTATATTTAAAGATAATTATAATACTATTTTTAATTAAATATTTGATATAATAAAAATATATTATGCATATTTAAATTAGATTAAGTGGTCAAATAAAACCCTCATAAATCTAGAACCAAGTATATATGGAAAGATTTATTTTCAAGCCAAGTTTTATGAAGTAAAAATTTGATCCGATCATGTTCGTTCATACTACCACCAAGTGACAACTCAGTAGTAGAATAAATTTATCAATTTCATTTATATCGTATTTTTGCATTAATTTTACCTTCGAAGTTATTTAATTATATCAATTTATACCTTTAATCGTATTGACTAACAGAAACGTTAGTTCTATTAATGTGGACGCCAACTGTATCTACTTAAGATAATTTTGATGACGTGTGACAATAAAGAAAAAATATTTTTCAAGTAAAAAAATAGATTGATATTATATTTCACTGAAAATATATCATGAATCAGAGGTAAAAGTGGTTGAATAATGCAATGGAAAAAAATCTTCATATAGTGCAGTCGAACAATTATTTACACATGAAGACCTATGGAGCTGCAACAGCGAGAGAAGAGAGAAGAGTTGCTGCAACATTTGAGGCTTTGTCGCAAAGAGCACTTGGCGACCTATGGGACACATGACGACCAATGAAGTCACTGTAGAAAACACCCCAGTTCAAAAAATAATTTTGTTAGAGTCTTATATAGTAAATTTTTTTTTCCAGTTCAACGACTGTCCGGCTTTCCTTTGGTCCAACCATCTACCTCCGACCCCGAAACCGGCGTCTCCTCAAAAGACATTATCGCCTCTAAAAACCCACCAATCTCAACCAGAATCTACCTTCCAAAACAGATACTTGACCAAAAGCTCCCTTTTAATCTCCTCAAACAAATACTTAAACAAACATCACATGTCTCCAAAAACAGGTCCAAATTTTACCCTTTTTCCTTTCATTCAATTTCGCAAGGAACAAAGTCAGTTTGGAGGATTTTCCAGCTATCGTAAAACCCAACAATGACAGTGTTTTGGAGGATGATTCATCGATTGAAGTGGTGGATTTTTCAGCTGTTAAAGACGATTCAATCGGGTTCTTTGCCGATAGATGACAATTGATGGCTTTTTATTCGAAATATTTCGCGATATACTCTCCACTCTCCAGAATGGAAATATCAGCGAGGACGGTGATGCCGGTGAAGTGAAAGGCGTTGGTGGAAATTCTGTTGGGGGATGAGGATTCCATCAGAGATGAAAAGTTGTGTAAGCGGAATTACTGATCCAAAGATTGAGATTTCATTGAACTGGGATGGAATTCCCACTGCTGTTAGCTTATATGCCTATTGTTATCGTACTCATCTAGTTTTCCCTACGCTTGAGTAGAGGATCCAAAAATTTAACAAGGGTCTGAAATTTTAATTTTTTTAAATTAATAGGTATGTAAAAATTATAATTTTTTCTCTAACACATTAAATTTAATTTAATAATTTTTTTAAAATAATAGGATATACTTTGCCCGTAGGATTAGTGCATCCGCCACTGCTACACTTTACACTTCAATAAAGAAAAGGCACCAACTCTCCAATGTAAGTATCTACAATTCTCATATTGTTTGTTTCTGCAATTGTCTGACTGGTTTTGAATTGAATTTAAAATTATGGGTTTGATTTTGGGGTGTATTCAATATTGATTTTTGGGTAGAGGTTTGATTTTGGGAATTTGTTTGCTTTCTTTGTTTACTCTCGAGATTAAGGGATTAAGGATCAACACCAAGTGCATGAACCGCTTGAGCCCCCGAACACCCTCTCCCCATCGCTTATGAAGATTGTTGGAGTGCTCTAAATGGGTCGTTTCACATAATTCCGATGGCGTTTCCGACAATGAGCTTTGGTAATCGACTTACGCCGATTTAAGGTAATTGTTTACTTAAAAAATATTTTTTATTTATTATCATGTTATCATATTGACACGTCAATACAATTATCTTAGGTGAAAATAGTTAGTGTTTACATCAATAGAAATTAAGGGTTCTATTAATTAATACGATTAAAAATATAAATTGATATAATTAAATAATTTTAAAGATAAAATTAATGTGAAAATATAATAGAAATGAAGTTAATAAATTTAGTATATTAAGGGTGCGTTTGGTTCACAGAATGTAAGATTATCAGTGGGAATAAAAGATTACCAGTGGGAATAAAAGATTACCAGAGAATAGAATTACTGGGAATGTTGTATTTTGTGTTTGGTTGGTTTAGCAGGAATGCAAGATTACCGTGTTTGGTTAAAGTAATAAAATATTATTGGAATGTATATTTGACTAAATTGTATTTATTATATATTTGTTTTTTTAACAAGTTGGAAAATATTTATATATTTTTTAAAAAAATTTAAATTCATAAAATTTATATAATTTTTTTACAAAATTAAAAATATAAAAAGGTTTAATGAAAGGGTAAAATTTTATTTTAATCCTTGAACTTCATATAAAATTTTAATTATATACTTTTTTATAAATCTAAAATAATTTAAGGATAAATTTATAATTTAACATTCGTAGAATTTTTATTATTCAATGACAGAAGAATGATATTTTTTTAAAAAAATTAACGGTATTTTAGTCTAAAACGTCGGTAATCCAATAATACTTAAGGAAAGGGAGATAATGACATTCCCGATAATATACCTAAAAATCCACTATTAATAATAAAACATTACCAAGAATAATAATCTTGGCCAACCAAACATGAAAATATAAATTATATAAAATCTCACATTTTTCGAACACGGAGAATGAATCTAGAGGTTGGATTCAGTGAGTAGCAGCAACCTACTCGAATTTCAATATATACAGATTAAAAATATGAATTAAAAAATCTTAATTATATATATTTTATTAAGGAAATTATAATAATCATGTAAAAAAAGCAAAGCATAGGCGATTTTCTAAAAAAAACTCATCTTTTTCATTTAATATTTTTGATCAGACATTGTTTAGACTATATGTTTTGATCTAACACTCTTTACAAGAAAGTGTACTTCTACATCTTGCTTTACGCCACGTGGCGCGTCTTCTACACTGTGCCTTACTCAATGTGTAAAAAATTCGAGTGTTAGTTTTATAAATAATTTTAAAGGGTGCCAAATTTATAATTAATATCTATTATGATAATAATTATGTAAAAACGTCAGCATTATTTATATTGGTTTTGAATTGTGCCGCCCCCACCTCGCCACGTGTGCCATTTCCAATGCTTAGGCTTTGGATATATAATATAATAGATCAAATATTGGTTTTGGTCACTCTACTATGTTCGATTTATATTTAGTCATTTTTTAATTTGACATACATTGATACTTTACTTCTATTAGGGATGAATAAATAAAAAAATAATTAACTAAATAAGGCGTACATGTTTAAATCTATTCTTTTTTATTTCACTTTATTTAGTTTCAATGATCTATTTACTTTAGTTTTGATTTCAACAATTCAAATTAAATAAAATTTTAAGTAATATGACATACGTTCCACTAAATATGTTTATTATTGACTTTTTAAAAGTAAAATAAATTAAACTTTGACAATGATTATATTAAAAAAAATTAAAAAGTAAATTGTATAAAATATATATTTCAAAATTACATTGATTAAAGGTTTTTGAAATATATTTTTATGTTTTTATCAATAATAAATTTTTAATAATAATGAGTCAAAGTTTAAAAATTTTGACCCTAAACTAATTCTAGAACATTCTTTTATTAGTGGGGCTTCATATCCCTGAACTAATATTTTATATATTTTTTTATATTTTTAATTGATAAACTATTTTCGTCTCCTAAAATTTTATAAGTTATTATCCTCCACAAATTTTAAAATTTACCCTTTAAATTATTGAAATTTCATTTTAATTAGATTTTATTTAAATCAAATTTTAAGGTAGGAAAATAACTTCACAAGATTTAATTATTTATAAAATATTCGGATAGTGTGATATAAATAATATGAATAGGAGTTTGAGGTTGAAAAAAAGATTAAAAAAAACTTACAAATGGCACACGTGGCTAGGTGTGGGTGGTTTTGCACAATTCAAAACTAAGGATAAATAATGCTTATGTTTTTACACAAATATCATTATAATAGATATTAATTATAAATTTGATATTATTTTAAAAATATTTATAAAATTAACACTCAAATTTTTTACATAACACACTGTGCAAGGGCACACCTTCGATCACTGACGTAAAGTGCGATACAAAAAACACGTTTTCTTGAACGGAAAATATAGAGAATTAAAGATGATTTTTCGAAAAAAAACGTCAAACAGGTTTGTGGGGTCCATCCATTTTTCTCTCTCTAGATTTGGTCGTCCCTCCCTTGATGTGACCCCAATTACCCACCAGCTGCCCTGGCAAGGGCTCGGGCTTCGCTCGATAGCTTAACGGCTCGGCGCCAATAATTTTCTTTATCCTTTTACTGGTAATAAGCAGCGGGGCACTGTCTCTCTTTCCCTTGCTTTCTCCCTCTTTGATCACCACCTGTATTTCCATCGCTCCAAACAAAAAACAGACTCCTCAAAAACCTGGAAAGTTTTCTATATTTTTAAAGTTCTCAAATATAGATATAAAAACATGTATTCCTCTGCAGGCAATAGTCCTATAAATATTCACTACCTCTTTTGAAACCGTTGGATTCTGCAAAGGATAGAGAGAGTTTTGAGAGAAGAAAACCCAAATGCACGTAGTGATAATTACACTACTATTTGTTTCTTTTAACTTCTTCCCTTTGCATCATTTTATCTTTGGTTTGTGAGTCAGAACAAAGATCTGAACTTTTTCTTTGTTAACTCCTCACTCCCTGTTGGCGAGAGACTGGGAAAAATTGTTGTCTTTCTAGTTAAGATCTATTGGGTGTTATTTGCTTGCTGGTGTTGTTGGGTACAAGCTTCGAGGGACTCGAATAAAATACTGGTGTTTTGTTCACACTTTAAGGATCAAAACTTCAAAAGGCTTTGTTTTTGAGAGGTGACGTGTGGGGCTAAAGTGTTGGAACGTAAGTAAGAGCAGACTATATGTTTTTGTTTTAGCGTTAAGTTTTGGTTCAAAAGAACAACACTTGGGGTATTTGGGTGGAGAGGAAGATTGATTGGAGGCGGTGAAGCTGAAAGCGGTCGTCTTTTGTACTAAAACCGGTTTCGGTTGAAAAAACAAACAGAAGAAGACCTCAAGCCTTGAGGCTTTGTGTTTTTCCTTGTCGTTAAAGTCTTCTTCGATGGGTAAATTGTCAGCTTTTTGTTAAACCTATTCTTGTTAGGCGTAGTGGTTTTTAATTTGTGGAGACACGGGGTAGAAATAAATGTTTTCAAGTGCGGGTGTCCTTGTTTGGAGGGTTTTGGTGCTTAATCGGTGTTGCCAAAAGCAGTAGTTTTGCTGGGGGAATCTTTTCTTAAGCGTATAAACTTAGGATTTAAATTTTTTGCTGAACTATTTAGAAAAAGAATGAGGCTCTCTTCAGCTGGTTTCAATCCACAACCTCAAGAAGGTATGCTTCTTTAATATTTCCCCCCCTAAGGATTATAGATTCTGCTTTGATTTTATTAATCGTTTTCGTCATTTCAAGCGGAGGTTTAATATGGTTTTGTGTCTTACACAGGTTTTTTTTGTGTGCTCTGCACAAGCTTTATTTTACCAATGTTTGTTGGAAGTTTGTATCTTCTATCTTTTTGACATCCATTGACCCTTTAGATTCCATGTTTAATTTACTCATCGGGAGGTGTTTGTAAACAATATTAACTCGATTTCTTTCTTTTCTTTCTTTTTTAATTTTGATATAAGTATTTTTAAACTAATGCGAAATGGAGTTTGCAGGAGAGAAGAGAGTTCTGAACTCTGAACTTTGGCATGCATGCGCGGGTCCTCTTGTGTGTTTACCTCCAGTCGGAAGTAGGGTTGTTTACTTCCCTCAGGGTCATAGCGAACAGGTTGGTATGCTTAAATCTAGCTTTATCTTGCTATGATCATTTGATTTTTGAACCAGGTTTTGTGTTGCAGCCGGTATGGTATGCACTATGTAATTATGTATCAACTTGAGTTTGCTTCGTCCAGAGTAAATTATGAATAATGAATGTTTCACTATCATTTTTTTTCTAGGGAAAAGTGACAGTTATTTTGAAGCATATCATCATTACTGTCCTTTTCGTATTAATTGAAGGAATGTAAATAACGTAAAGTTCATAATTAAATGTCTTTGTTGTTATCACTAAATACCTTCTTGCTGTAGATCATTAAATGTCTTTTTTTATAGGTAGCTGCATCAACCAACAAGGAAGTCGATGCCCACGTACCTAATTACTCAAGCTTACCTCCACAGCTTATATGTCAACTCCATAATGTCACCATGCATGTAAGGCTTGTTTAATTTTATTTTCTGATGGTATATGAACCTATAGACTTGTCTCTAAAGCCTCAAAGCTTGTCAAGTTCAGGCAGATGTTGAGACGGATGAAGTATATGCTCAAATGACCTTGCAGCCACTGAATCCGGTTTGTGATTTTTGTATGGGTTCTCATCGTGATGTTGTAAGTCTTATTCATTGCTTAAAAATATTGAAGCTTACCTGTTCTACAGCAAGAACAAAAGGAGGCTTACCTTCCTGCAGAATTGGGCACTCCCAGCAGACAGCCAACAAATTATTTCTGTAAAACATTAACAGCTAGTGACACAAGCACTCATGGAGGATTCTCTGTTCCTCGCCGAGCAGCTGAAAAAGTGTTCCCTCCGCTGGTAAACTGTGCCACCTTAGGCATTGATGTCCTCTTATGCTTTTAATTGAAATGATTTATTTCTAAATTTATGCTATTGATTGCCAACAGGACTTCTCACAGCAGCCTCCTTGTCAAGAGTTGATTGCACGGGACTTGCATGATAATGAATGGAAATTTAGGCATATATTTAGGGGTGAATTTATTACAAGTCCTCTTTTCCCTCTTCAAATATGCAACTTTTTTAACCTAGAAATGCTATTTCCTGCTACATGTTCCCTTATAAAGTTGTAGAGAATGGTTTTTTCCCTCTCTAATTCATCATGTGTGCTGAAGAAGTTATAGAAATTGTCACATAGACAGATAGCATTTCCTTAATTATAACTTTGGCCACTGTATGCCACAGGGTGATTTGATTAGTACAGTTGTACTAACAGTCATTGACTTCTTCTGCCTTGCAGGTCAGCCCAAAAGGCACCTCCTGACAACAGGATGGAGCATATTTGTAAGTGCTAAAAGACTAGTTGCAGGTGATTCAGTGCTTTTTATCTGGTAAGTAGCTGGCTTGTCTTGTATCTCATCTTACTTCTGCTTGTGTCATTGGTATTTTGATGCTCAAACCAACATATTAGGTTATCTTGGCAGGAATGAAAGAAATCAATTACTTCTTGGTATTCGACGAGCTAATCGGCCTCAAACTGTAATGCCTTCATTGGTTTTATCAAGTGATAGCATGCACTTGGGGCTTCTTACTGCTGCTGCTCATGCAGCTGCAACAAATAGCCGCTTCACTATATTTTATAACCCAAGGTATGGTGCAATTGCAATGCATCTGACCATTTTAGGTATTCTGTCTAGTGATTACTCTACCCTTTAAAACGTGTGCCCCTTCAATTTAGGGCTAGTCCATCAGAATTTGTCATACCTTTGACAAAGTATATCAAAGCTGTCTATCATACTCGAGTTTCTGTTGGTATGCGCTTTAGAATGCTGTTTGAAACTGAAGAATCAAGTGTTCGTCGGTAAGTTAAACCTTTTTGCTTTTTGAAATTTCAATCAAAATGTTTAAAGTAACTTTCCTTTAAAAAGGATCAGATTATTATATTGTTTACTTTTGAACATCATGGGCTTTGCATTTACCAGATACATGGGTACAGTAACTGGCATAAGTGACTTAGATCCTGTTCGTTGGCCAAACTCACATTGGCGATCAGTCGAGGCATGTTGAGAATGTTTTACCTTTACCTTTTCTCATTGAGAATCTTGCTCATTTCTTGTTTTGGATTTTCTATCTACAATGATGAGATTTTTTGGACTTGAACCTTTTCATGCAGCTTGGCTGGGATGAATCAACAGCTGGGGAAAGGCAGCCAAGAGCCTCCTTGTGGGAGATTGAACCGTTGACAACATTCCCTATGTATCCATCTCCATTTCCTTTAAGGCTTAAGCGACCATGGCCTCCAGGATTACCTTATGGTATGCTAGTCTGCTGCTAATACTATGGCTGTTCAGCTTCAGCTACTTGTTTTATTTCTCTTACCCTCTCTTTTGTTGAATCTGACTTTTAATAAGCTTTTATCTTTTATTCCTATGTAATACTTTTTGAAATTTTAAGATTTTTTTTTTAAATTCGGCTCTCTTGCTCTTAGGTTTCAATGATGATAGTTTAGGCATGAATTCTCCACTTATGTGGCTACAAGGAGATGCAGGTCGAGGAATGCAGTCTCTGAACTTTCAGGGGATTGGAGTTACACCATGGATGCAGCCAAGGCTGGATGCTTCTTCCTTGCTGGGTTTGCAGACTGACATGCACCAAGCTATGGCTACTTCTGCGCTGCAAGACATGAGAGCTGTGGATCCTTCCAAACCAGCAACCCCTACCCTTCTGCAATTCCAGCAACCCCAAAATCTATCCTGCAGGCCTGCTGCTTTAATGCAGCCCCAGATGTTGCAGCAATCTCAGCCAAAGGGCTTTCTTCAGGGTGTTGAAGACCACCAACATCAGTCTCAATCTCAGACCGAGGCTCAAACACAGCCACATCTTGTTCAGCAACAACTGCAGCAGCAGAATTCATTTAATAACCCTCAACACCAACAGCAATTGCAGCATCCACTGTCGCAGCAACAACAGCAACTTGTCGAGCAACAGCTTATTTCTACTGCACTGTTTTCCATGTCACAGTATGTTTCGGCCTCTCAGTCCCAGTCATCATCTTTCCAGTCCATACCTTCACTATGCCATCAACAGAGTTTTTCTGATTCAAATGGGTACGCTGTGACCAGCCCTGTTATTTCTCCTTTGCGTAGTCTTTTGAGTTCCTTTCCCCAGGATGAGTCGTCCAATTTGCTCAACTTGCCTCGATCCAACCCTGTAATAACTTCTGCTGCATGGCCATCTAAGCGTGCTGCTGTTGAAGTTCTCTCATCTGGATCTCCACACTGTGTTCTGCCCCAGGTGGAACAGTTGGGGCCTATCAAGGCCAACATTTCTCATAATCCTATTTCGTTGCCACCATTTCCTGGCAGGGAGTGCTTGATAGACCAAGAAGGGGGTACCGATCCACAGAGCCATCTCTTATTTGGCGTTAATATAGAGTCTTCATCACTTCTGATGCAAAATGGGATGTCAAGCCTTAGGGGAGTTGGCAGCGATAGTGACTTGACTACTATACCCTTCTGTTCTAATTATACGAGTACTGGAGGCACTGATTTTTCAGTTAATCCAGCAATGACACCTTCCAGTTGCATTAATGAATTGGGATTCTTGCAGTCTTCAGATAATGTGGGCCAAGAGAAACCACAAAGTAAAACCTTTGTTAAGGTCAGTTGCCTTCTGTTCTAGATTAATTAATTTGCTGGTGTTATGAGTTCCATTTGGCCTGTGAATTTTGGTTCTTTTACGGTTGCAAGTTTGACCTTTTGTTTTTCATACTAAATTATTTTGATACTTTGTGACTGATGTGAATACTTCTGCGGCGGAACAGGTTTATAAATCAGGTTCCTTCGGGAGGTCATTGGATATCTCCAAATTTAGCAGCTACAAAGAGCTGCGTAGTGAACTCGCACACATGTTTGGCCTTGAAGGCCAGTTGGAGGACCCTTTGAGATCAGGCTGGCAGCTTTTATTTGTCGATCGGGAGAATGACGTTCTTCTCCTTGGTGATGACCCCTGGCCGTAAGTTTCTATTCTCCTATTGCATGCATATAGTTGTGTATCAAGCTATAGGATGCATGTGAGTTACTTTGTACCATTTGCTCAAGAGATTGTTGCATTAAAATACTTTTAAACATTAATGCACATCATGGTAGCACATCTGTGAAAACTTGGTGGGGGTAAATTGAAGCCTTTTTATGAACCCAAAAAAAATGGAACCCTTTGGATGCATGCGTTTAAATCTATTTTGGATTCTCCACATGCTATGTTTGCTAATTCCAAACTTTACTTTCCATTTCCTTTCCCTCAGGGAGTTTGTGAACAGTGTGTGGTGCATCAAGATACTTTCACCGCAAGAAGTTAAGCAAATGGGCAAGCGAGGCCCGGATCTTCTGAACTCTATTCCAGTTCAGAGGCTCTCTAATGGCAGTTGTGATGACTTTGTGAGCCAGCAGAACTCAAGAAATTTGAACTCCGGTATTGTTTCCGTGGGGTCCTTGGACTACTGAACGAATTTACCTGTTAAGATGCTGTTATTCTCCTGTAATGTTAGTGCCTCTTGCTACCCTTTTATAGGTTAAAAGAACTGCCTAACACTAGCTTGAACTATTTATTAGCACGTCGTCTATGTGGAAATATGTACAATTCATATTTATTAGCACGTCATCCTCAATATTAACGAAGCAATTCTCCTGTAATGTTAGTGCCTCTTGCTACCCTTTTATAGGTTAAAATAACTGCCTAACACTAGCTTGAACTATTTATTAGCACGTCGTCTATGTGGAAATATGTACAATTCATATTTATTAGCACGTCATCCTCAATATTAACGAAGCAATTCTCCTGTAATGTTAGTGCCTCTTGCTACCCTTTTATAGGTTAAAATAACTGCCTAACACTAGCTTGAACTATTTATTAGCACGTCGTCTATGTGGAAATATGTACAATTCATATTTATTAGCACGTCATCCTCAATATTAACGAAGCAAGCTTTAGCTTTTTCCCTTACAGATTTTTGAACAGTCAACTTATTATATGCGGTGAAAATTACAGCACAAATTACAAGAAGCTTGAAGCTTACCAAGTCTCTGAAACTATTTTTATCTGGTATAAAAATGGGTCCCTATAGAAATCAGGTCTCGAAAATCAACCATTTCTGCGTAGCTTTAGTGTGAACATGGCCCAGTGTTGCTCATTTATTCCAACTTTTGGAAAGTGAACAATAACCCTACTTTCACTAGCATCACCGGCTGGCTCTGGCTCATCGACTTATCTGAGGGGTTGTCAAAATCCAACCTATTTGATGAAAGTGAGAGACTGGTAGTCTTTCGAACATATCCTGCAAGTTAAAAAGGTCTGTGTCGGGGGGTTTGTTTGAATGGCTAATAAATGATGCTGCTTTGGCTGGTAAAACGTTTGATGATTCCATTGCCTTTCATCTCGACGACACAATGATTATTTCATATCTATCTTTGAAATGGTGTTCTAAATCAAATTGAAAAGATTCTGAAAGCCAACGAGACAAACATAAATAATCTCCCCTGGATTTAAAACATCGTATCGACATGTTTTATGTCCTCGTGCACTTGTTAAAAGGCAGCTGATAAGAACAACACTGTCTCGTCAAATAGCGACTGAACTCTTGCAGGTTATAGTGAAACGTTCCGAGTCATTTATTCTCATCTCTCTTTCACCTGAGATTTTTGACAAAAATAAAACCACAGGAGGCAGTCACATGCATCTGATGAAATGGAAGGTTTGCAATAATTCCTCGGCCTAACTGATGGGACAGGGTCGATGTCGGTCGACCTGACATGTGAGCCATATTTCCTCATTCAATTTTCATGGGAATTTATGCCACATCCTCATTTCCATTCGAGGATAGAGTTGAATAAATTTGAAAGAGAATTTTTAAAGTTTAGCACAATTCCAATATGCAGACATTTTTAAGGGATCGGTGTTCAACGAACTTAAAGGATCGAATCAAAAGATTGTACAGTCTCTCTATCCCTAAACTACATCACTTTGTACCAAAAAGATGGGATAAAATTAAAAAGTTACGATATTAGTTGAGGCCTCTTTTCTAGGGGAGGTGGGACTGGATGGCCACTATGTAAAGATGGAAATTAAGGGTTAGTTTTGTGCTTTTGTGACTACATGTTGTGGGGGCATAGCATTTCACAATAGATGGATAGCACTCAAGTGCTTGGGGGTGGAAATGGTGACAAAAAGGGTAGGGCACCCATCAACAATAATAGTCCCATTTCAAAATGAAAGGAGGGTTTCCATCAACATCCTCTCGTACCCCTTTATGTTTATAAGTGAAGGATGACTGAAGAAGGATGTATTTTTTGCCTTTTAACTCGCACCGCATCAATGGCTTTTGCTTGAGAGACCCCCATGTTCTCTGCCAAAAAAAAAAGTAATAATATGGGCAGCTTGGTGTGTTCTCATCTTGTTGTTGCCAAAGTACTGGAAGAATTCATTTAGGTGTGAGAGATTTGGCAATGGTGATTGGTGAAGGAGAGTGATTTTGTCAGTGTTTTGAAGGACAGTTAATCGCTCCTTCATTACATCTCCATGAATGTGGGGAAGATTGAAGATATTGTTTTGACAAGCAGAAATCTTGTGTATTAGATCTTTGTATGTACACAGGCCGTTTGATTACTTTCAGCAACATTCATGAAACGAAATGCATGGAACAAATACAAAAACCAAAAGGCATCCAACTTAAAGCCACTGATCCTAAAAGCTTATGCTTGGTCCAAACCAAGGCCATGGATCAGAAAATTGCTTGGCAATTGGTCAGGTCCCGGTTTCTAATGGCGTGAAACAGAAAACAATTGCAGTGTTTGGGTAGGACTAGTTGGACACACGAACTTGAAACCCTCAAAAGACTACTGAAAATAGTATGGAAACCAACCAGATTAGAAAGCAGATATTGATGGATAGATCTAACCCTTTACATGTGGCCCGAAAGTGGGAAAAGAGACTTGAACAAGCTCAATATGTTCACCGAAGCCGAAGCCAAACGAGACAATTACTGATGTTCATGCATTACTATGGACCATAGGCCTATCCTTCACCAAGGAAATTTTCAAGCCATATGGATTCGTCCAGGAGTCCAAATTAGTCTACACCCCAACTACTGGTATCTTCAAGGAAACATGTTGATCCAAACATAGAATGTAATAAGTTAAGAGATATGCAGAGGTTTTTTCTTTTCCGAATTCAAATTTTAGTTTTTGAAGTGTTGTTACAAATTGGAAGCAATAGGATGTTAGATTTATTATTTTAAATTATTTCTTGTTACAATTTGCATAAATTTAACACTTCTCGTTCAGAAAAAATATGTTTCATTGATAAGGAATAATAACGAGAAGAAGATAAGAAAGGGTCAAGGTTAATTCTTATTAAAATCATACATTTTTGAAATTGTGTTGGAATTAACATTAATTTCACCAATTGCATTAATCATTTCATCTTCCCAATTAAACAACACAAAATAATTCAGGCCATTCTATAAATACAACACCTCTTCCCCATCACCAATGCTGCTCAAAACAAGGTTACAAGATGTTACTTGGCTCAACAAGTGTATGAGCAAGCTTTGGTTTTATTGATTGTTTACTCTATTATTATGACAACCAACCACAACACATGTAATGAGACGACGGCATTCTTCCGATTTTTCGAATGTATTCTGCTCGAGCAGCTGTTTTTTCTGCATCTCTATTCTTTCTAGCTTCGGCTGCTGCTCGTTTTTCTTCTGATCTTTGCGTAGCCATATCAATCTTCTTCACCATCTTTGCTTGAGCTTGGATTCTCATTTGATCTACTTCGTCCTGAAAAGTGGAAGACATGTATAGTTATATTACCAATACTTGTTGCTCCGCATCCGGCCACATAAATGAGCCTCTGTCATAATTGCAGTCTTTCCCGACTCAAAATATTTTTTATTAATTTGTAATGACAATGAACTCAACTGCATGATCTTAACCTAAAAATAGCATCTTCTTTAATACTATCATTTTACATAAAAAAAAGATCAGTCATCTTTAAATAGTTACGATTGCAACTAATTCCGAGTACGTGATGAAAAAAAGGATTTCAGATACCTCTATTCTCCGCATTTCTTCTTCTAGTTTTGCTCTCTGCCGACTCTCCCATGATTGAATTTTGATCTCTTCACGCTTATACCTGAGAAATTGAGATACGCATTCAGACCAATAAATCAATGGGAAATTGTTTAACAAGTATTAGAACTGCATAAATTTGCAAAGTATTGGTACATATCAGGACCTTGCTGCATGCTTGGACTTTTCAGCTTCCTCCCATGCTGCTGCTCGTTTTTCATATTCGATCCGCACAAGCTCCTCCATACGGGTGGTATCAACTGAAGATGTATTGTCTTCCTTCTCGTCTTTGCTTGCCCAAGCAGCAATATTCATCTTGCCAAGTTGGACACCAAGAGCTACAATCTCTCTTCTTGTCTTGAGTTTGGTTTCTTTCTCAGACAATGCGTTCCTGCCATTTTCAGGGCAACATTGTGACTCATCGCCTATATTGCGGTTCAAAGATGTCGATGTCGGTGCCCCTCTACAAGGAGTAGATGGAATTGAAGATGTTGGGCTTCGGAAAGGGGTTGTTGCCCCTACAGGTGTAGCAGTCCTAGAAGGCTCTTGACTTGCAACAGGGGTCATTTCTGTTCCCATGTCTCTCATACAAACTGATCGCATTGCAGGAATAGCTGCAAGGCCAAATCGTATGGTATGGGATAAAGAATAGATAAAACAAACTATGATCAATGTATCCACACAGCAGAATGGGAAAACGATCTGAATATGGAGTAGACCCCTTATTTATACTCCCCACATTATGGTTTCAAGACTCATATAAGAATTCAGCATATTCATATGTAATTATAATGGCCTAACCCTCATTTCAATGTTCTTAATCACATTAAAATGCAAGTGCTTATTTTGGTGATCACATGATAATCAACCTGGATGCACAGAACATCGCCTACATGCACAGTCTACAAATTTATATATAATTCCATACAGAAACTATTAAAAAGGCTCTATATGAAAATGCACCGGTTGTATCTTCTTCAGAACTTTTTGTACAAGATAACTGAGCCACTTCCTTCAAATCCTTACTCTGAGAAAGCTGATTACATAGTAGGTTTCCTCCACATGATTGTGCTGAAACAGGATGAGCTCCAGAAGGAATAAAAGAGAATTTGTTAAATGGTATCTGCACAGCGTGCTGATAGAAATCTACTCTCTTACTGTCGGCTAGGCCATTAGCAACCAGCCTGTAATCATAATTCGCCGACTCTGGAGCAACTCTCACTATATGCATAAGAGGATATCGATTAACTTGGTCGTGGAATGCATTATTCTTAGCACAATTAGCTACCACGTCTTGCCTCTTCATTATCCATTTCTCTGCATCGTTCCACTTGGATGACATAGGTCTCGAGTATGACCTCGTCGGGCAATTGTGTGCTGCTGCTCTCTCCCCTTTATGGAACTCAAAGCTTGATGAACTAGCATTACTATCATAATCAAGGTTTTCATCTTCAAGCGTCCTTATTGGATGAATGGCGCTGGAATTACCATTATCATTCTTTGAGCATTGCTGCAATTT